CAACGTATCAATAGCCATTTCCAGCTCAACCTAAGCAACAGTAGTTTAACAAGCAGAAAGTAACACCTTAAAAACAAGGTACCATCTAAAAGATTGTATCTCCGTATACAAGTCAGCCCGAGTTTTAAGATCTTGAGTAGAAGTGGAAGTTTTAAACTTTTGTAACATAACTTTTGTAATGCAACATTTTAGCTAAACTTTTGTTTTAAATTATAAGCCACCTTGGGTCTTGTGGCAGGAGAAAGATGCAATATATATTGAATAATAAGTAAATAAATAAACAATATACAAAAACTTAATGAGGAAGTCAGCTATCAGTCAAAGACCCTGATAAATACAGCTTAAATACTAATTTCAAATATGGAAGTGCAGGCAGACTTTAGGAATGCATTCCTTATTGGATCCTCTTCCTTTAAAGGTCTTCCTCCTTTAAGATCCAACCACCCCTCTGCAAATGTTTGACAGGCAGAGCACTGAGACATGTGAATCACTGGCTAGCTAGAATCATTTGAATTGTACCATTTTCACATACATTATAGTGCTGTGATCCTACAAGAATAGTGTCAAGTTAGAAAATATTACTGACCCTGTATCAACTACAGTGGAGAGAGATTAAGGCCAAGGAAGAACTGATTGCTCAGAATTATTTACTGTCCTCTTGATAAGAGTCTAGACTTGTCTTTCCCCATGTGTAGTTGTGGTTGCCACCTCATGAAAACATATCCAGGGAATAAGCATCAAAAACCACACTGGGACCACATTTTGGGGGAAAAGCACACAAAATTCTGCTGTTGATTTCTTAGCTACTACATCATGGCTGAAGAATGTGAGGCCCTTGAGATGCTACACTGCAACGTTCATCATCCCTAGCAGAGCCAACAGTGAAGAATGATGAGAGCTGCAGTCCAACATTTGGAGAGTCATGTGCTTTTCATTCTTACAACTATGTTGGATCAGTAAGACAATTAAATCCTTTTCAGCTAAACCCACTTTCTGTGGTAATTTATGGCAAAAACAGAAAAGTCTGACTAACTGAATCTTTCAATGGTTAGAGCATGACCTGGGAAGCAGCTGGATAGGCTGATAAAGTATTATGCTTAATGGGACTCCCTGCCCTAATAAGTCTCAATATTTTTAAGCAGGTTACTGTAATTTTGAAACATTTTTTAAAGAAACAGGATTTAAATTATGCTCAACCTTTTGCTGTTTTGGCTTTATCTTCGCTGACAAGTGAGTCACTTCGTCGTATGTCATCGAAGCAGGGCGAATGGGATACTGTGAGAGAGAAAATTGCTGAATGATTCATGTTCAAAAGAAAATAATGCTTTAATATATGTGTTTTCATTTTTTTTTAAAGTTAATCCAACAATACCTGGAATAGATAGAGTTTCTCTGACAGACTTTTGGCCAGGTACACATCAATCTAGGAAACAGGGAGCAAAACAAAAATAAAATGCAATTATGTCCTATTTGCTTATAAAATCATACATAAAACTAATGCAGTGCAACACAGAGTAAATAATGTAAAAAAAAAAATGGACCAACTTAAAACCAATTAAGAAAATACTTGATGGGGGAGAAATCTTCATGTTCTGTCTAGAACACAGAAAGAGGCCTTGACCAAGTTCTTTGGGCAAGGACTTCCAAAGCTATGGAGACACCATTGAACAGATCCTGCATTTGGTATGCACTGATCTGATCCTCCATAGTAGTAGGCCAGCCTGGTCTTCGGCGATCAGAATTTCGAAAAGGTAGGTTTTTGGAATACAGCTCCCAAAATCCTCTAGCCAGCATGGCCAATGACCATATGAGATGTGGTTCAAAAAAATTAATTTTTCCAAGCTCAGTTGGGATTATGGAATGGGGGACAGACTTCTATTGGGTTAATAATAATGATAATGATATGAGTAGCATGAATGCTTTGTGTGAGTAGCCTCAAAAGTATTGGGAGTACTCCTACTTTGAGGGGCTTGTGTGTCATTAGGAGAAAAGGAGAGGAAAAGGTACAGAAATTATTTCATCAGCCCCTGAGGGGAATGGCTTGTAGGGTTGTCAGAATGCAAACTGGAGATGCACCTGTATCTTTAAAGGTTGGGTAGAAGTATAAATTTTAGCAGGTGTTGCTTTACAGAACAAGCAACACTTGTTGAAATTCCCACTTCTACACAACCATTAAGATACAGGTGCATCTCCAGTTTGCACTTTGGGTCCATTAACACTACACAATTATAGCACTATATTCCACTTTAACAGCCAT